GGGGCGGGCGGCGGCCCCGCCCCCCGCGGCCTTCCCCGCCCCCACAGGCCGCCGCGGCGCTCCCGGACGGGAAAACCGCCCGAAAATCGAGCCAAACCACCCGATTTATCGCCTTTCACCGATGCCAGACACGTTTCACCGTGACAGACAGGCACACAGACACTTCCTCTACCGCCGCAGGAGCGCATGCAGGAGGTGCCCGGGGCAGCCGGGGCGGGCAGCCGGGCGGGAGCAGCGTCCCCCGCCTCCTGAGGCGAGCAGGCCGCAGGCCCGGGGGCTGCCTGCCCCCCTGCCCCGCAACGGGTTTATCGGCCAGCTCTCCTTGCGCAGAGCGAAATCAGGCAGCTGTTAAAGAACTGTTTATCATTAATGTTGTGTTCTTTCGTAGCTCGACGTCCCGGAAGAGCTTTTACTCTTCCCCAAGAGGTTTTGCCCAGGTCTGCTTGGCAAAGAGTTTGCATTTAGCTGGTGGACTCCAAATAAAGGAAAGAATAAGTATGATCTCCTGGCTTGCTTCTGGCAGCCCGCTATTTTTTTTCTTGCATTGCCCAAAATTCCACTGACTTCCACGAGAGGCGAGAAGTCGGGAACGAACCCCCCCTTTTTACTTCTGTGCCATGAGCTATGTCAATCCACTATGAACAACGGCCTGTTACAATTAAGCATAGCAGAAATGATATAAGCGCAAGGGTTTTTGTATATTTTTAATGAGTTACATATAATGGTGGTTGTAATGATTTTTTCTGCCTTGAATTTTACAGCCTAGTGGGAACAATCAGAAATTTTAAAAATACCAGAATATAGGCCATAATTATTTGACTTTTTTTTTTTTTTTACTTTAATCATATCCAGATATTGAGAATGAGGAGAAGACGGCGTTACATAGTAGGATGAAGAGGCTATGCAAACAAACATGGACTAATCCAGTGCCATGCAGCTACGATGGAAGGACAACCTGGTCACTCTGGAGCACTAGCAGCTTTACCTGGGTATGAACTGCTTTCTAATAAAGATATGTTTGACATTCATATTTTAATCTGTTTTTCAGGGCATGACGTTTTGATATTTATACAAGTAAAGGGTTTACATTGCTGGTTGAAGCCAGATGCTTAAAACAATTGCCTTAAAAGCCTGCTCTTTGTCCAGAAAAATTAGTTAATCTGTATATCTGACATCACTCAGCTTGTTGAACCCAGCATAGAGTGCTCAGACAGAGGAACTACGCGCTCTTTACTACTCTGCTGTTAGACTTGCTGGGTAATTCTGGACATATTACTTAACTTGCCTATGTCTTAGTCTCAGTAAGCTGGATATGGTACCATGCCATATCATACTAATGCTCATGAATAAAGCATCTGTAATCTCTGAATGAGAAATGTTTCATTTTGGGTTCAAATCATCTGTTGATTTGTCAGACAGAATGCTTCAGCTATGCCTCCTCGTGTACAGTGATGGCAAAATTTACTCTGCTCTAAGGCAAACTATGTTTTAATTTGGCAGACCTGAAGAAAAAAAGAGCAAACTAAAGAGCAAACTGCCTTCACTAACTTTTGTGAGATTAGATATTTGCTAGATCCCTGTATATGTCTAAGATTTTAATTTTATTACCTTAATATACATCCCCTGTAACTTTTATCACATCAGCCTTTTCCTACCAGGGATTTAGACTATTAGTTAAAGAAAACGCTGTACGACAAAGGGTTAGTTTGAGAACTGCAGTCAGAAGTTACAGTGTAATTAAAGTCACTCAAGAAATAGTGATATTGAAGTCTGCCAGTCACTGCAAAATAAATGGTTAATTTGCTGCTTCTAGCGCAGCATATAAGATTACATATCAAAGGGATGCAAGTTCTGTACTGGAAATAGGCCTATTAAGGAGGAACTTATGTACTGCACGGTATAGTCAGTAAATCCATCGCTGTTCTCACTACCAACTATTGCTGTCAGTTGTTGGATAGCCTTAAAAGATGTTGGTGTTTTATTAAAGGTCATGTACAATACGGGAGAGGAAATATAATGTGGTTTGAACAGAAATCTATTTTAAAACTTATTTTGCTAGTTGCGTCGAACTGAGATATTACTTCTAAAGAAAAAAAAAAAGTAGCGTCTCTAGGAGGAAAGTTGCAGAGTGTGGTAGCAACCTTGTTAGTAAAAGAGAGGGAGGTTTTGTTGTGGTCTGTATTTGTCAGTGTCATTTGCCGTGAGCAGAGTAGAGGAGAATGTCTTCTCCGTGCCAGTGCATCCGTCAGTGGAGGAGGAGATCCGTTGTCCGCATGAGTGGTGTTGAGGAACAGTCTAACACCCTAGAGATCCTGCAGAGTGTCAGTATTTGTGAAGTGCTTGAACTGTGCTAATAGTACAATGTACTTATAAATGAATCATGGTAGCGGAGATTTAATTTAACTACACTGAAAATATACAGGGATTTGTATTTCTTTTGTAGGTCAGTCATATGGTACAAAGAAATCATGAAGGGAAAAGCTTAATCAGTGAATTGATGGGTGAAAATATAGGGCACCATATACATTTTAATTATCTTCTTTGTGGATACATTGCATGTATTCCATTCTGTGTATATTCTAGTTAGTGCACCTTGCTTAGAAGGTTGTAAAGAAATAAGCAAACAGAAGAAAATAATATTTTTTTTTCTATTTTCAGAGTAATTTTGTATATATACTTCATAATTTAGGTTTTTTGCAGTAAGTTGCAAAGTAACTTTTGCATAATATTGTGTAAATAGAATATTTCTCTTCCAAAAAGCTAGTGTCCACTCACTACTGCTCGTAAAGCCATGGAGAGAACTACCCACAGTTTCCTAGTAGGAGATGGTGTGGTGACTTGCTGTGACTTTTGAGAGAGAGCAAGGCTTCGTGATAGAAGATAATAAAAGTATGATGACTAAGCAGAGTGATGAAGCTTATCAGATGAAGTACTACAACTATCTTGTACTGAGTTGAATAGATTTTTATGAACTTGCTGATAAAGTGCTCCATGCTTATCCTAATGTGCAGGCACGGAGAAACTATATGAACAGAGGCAGGAAATACTCAGAACAGAACAGAAAGGGAAAATGATTTACTGGGACAGCTGTCCCAGAGCTCTGCTCAGTGTGGCAGAGAAAGGAGGGTCCAGGAGGAACAGACGACATCTCACACACAGCACAGCAAATGGTGTGTTTCTAGTCCCACTTTCACTTCCTATGGGCCCCTCTCTCTCCTACGTGTGTAGGATTTGCACATGCCAGCTCTGTGCTGGCTGGGGAAACTGAGGCTGTGTTGATGAAGCCGGTTCCAATGTTGTTTTGGCAGAGCAGGGGAAAGACACTCCACCTAACTATTAGTATCAATCTTTTCATTAATCATCTGTTTTGTTTCTTATTCAGCCATTTTACCTTTGTCTCAGAATTATTTCATTACCAAAAATAGAAGATTAGAAGGATTCACAGAAAGCATCCCTTAGAATTGACTAAACACTGGGTACCATTTGCTGGATTTATGAAACAGTGGACATAGTGAGTTAAAAACATTCAAGAAGTCTGAATACTTCTAAATAGATCATGGTTTGAAGGGCACATAAGCCCTGAACAGACACACCTCCAACATTGTATGACTACCTCATTAGCATTAAGGGACTCTGACCTTTACCAAATCTTGACGACCTAACTTTCCTGGTTATCAAAACCAACCCCACTCTGGTGCCAGAAGCAGTATGGTCATGGTAGCCTACGCAGGATAATTTTCCTGCTAAGAAAAGAAAAAGCTGGTGTCAAACTGTGTTGGACGAGAGTGCTCAGCGGGCCTGGATTTGTGTGAAGGACAAAAGGGTCTGGATTCTCCTCCCTATAAGCACCACCCATTCTGAGTCATCTGAGCTGGAAGTACTGGCATAATTGCAAAACATCTTCACACAGATGGTACGATCCAGTGTAGGTTACACTAGGACACTTGAATGAGGTATTTGGCTGTATAATTAAAATATGTTGAGGACAGGTTTTTACTATTGGGGATTTTTCAATAACAGTTCTTCACGAGATGAAGAAAATGTTTTTCCTCTTTAGTGTCATGGAGTTACAGAGTATGAACTATTATTTTTGTTGACTTGTTTCCAGATAAACATAAGACCACGTTGTAAATGTCACTTTGATTTTAAAATTCAACTCAAATTTGGTTCCATGTAGCATCTCTAGTGTGTTTCACATCTGCCATTCAAAATTTTTAAAACACTACTTCAAACAAAGTTATCTTATAGAGTTCAGACACTGCAAATCATAATCACAGAATCACAGAATGGCTGGGGTTGGAAGGGACCTCTGGAGATCATCTAGTCCAACCCCTCTGCTAAAGCAGGTTCACCTAGAGCCGGTTGCACAGGATTGCGTCCAGGGAGGTTTTGAATATCGCCAGAGAAGGAGACTCTACAGCCTCTCTGGGCAGCCTGTTCCAGTGCTCTGACACCTTCAAAGTGAAGAAGTTTTTCCTCATATTCAGATGGAACTTCTTGTGTTTCAGTTTGTGCCCGTTGCTCCTCATCCTGTCACTGGGCACTACTGAAAAGAGTCTGTCCCCATCCTCCTGACACCCGCCCTTAAGATATTTGTAA